TTCTCTTTCAGTGCTGCATCTTTTTCCAGCTTAGGAATTAAGGTGATGCTGGCTTCATAGAAAGAATTTGGGAGGATTCCCTCTTCTTCGATTGTTCTGAATAGTTTGAGAAGAATTGGAGTTAGCTCTTCTTTAAATGTCTGGTAGAATTCAGCAGTGAATCCATCTGGTCCTGGGCTTTTCTTTGTTGGGAGGGCCTTTATTACTGTTTCAATTTCTGTCTCAGTTATGGGTCTGTTTAGGTTTTCGATGTCTTCCTGGTTCAATTTAGGTAGGTTGCATGTGTCCAGGAATCTATCCATTTCTGATAGGTTTCCCTGTTTGCTGGCATACAGGTCCTTGTAGTAATTTCTGATGATTCTTTTTATTTCTGTGGTGTCTGTTGTTACATTTCCTTTTTCATCTCTGATTTTATTGATTTGGGTCTTTTCTTTTTTTTAGTTAGTTGGGCCAATGGGGTGTCAATTTTGTTTAATTTCATTTTCTGTGTGTAAACTCTCTTCCTTCCTCTGGCTTTTCTCTTTATTTTTGTTTTTTTAGCAAGTTATCTCTGATGTTTCTTTTTTTATTGACTTTTATTTATTGTTTTCATCCTGCTTGGGAGTCTCTGAGTATCTTGTGTATGTTGTTTGTTTTTGTCAGTTCTACAACTTATATTTTAATAAAATACTTCTTCTGCCCTTTTTTTTTCTTTTCCTTTTAAGAATCTGCTTACACATGTGAGACCTGTGAGATTGTCTCACAGATCTTGAGATTTTTTTTAAACACTTTGTTTTCTATTTGTGGTTCAGTTTTGATAATTTTTAATCATGTATCTTTAGTTCTTTCCTATCTTGTGTCTGCTGATAAAACTGACAAATGAATTCCTTGTCTCTCCTACTGGCATTTTCATTTTTTTTCCAGTTTTCCTGCTGAAAATTTATGGAGACATGTTTTCTCTTTTTTCCACTAAATTCTTTAACATATTAATTCAAATAGTTTAAACTCTCTAAGATTTCCTGTAGTTGAGTAAGCTTTGGATCTGGTTTTGTTGTCTAATCTCTGGACAATGAATCTTTCTTGGTTGTTTTTCTTACTTCTTTGGTCTTGTAATTTTTTGTTGATTGTAAGATGTCTTTTTTCCCCCCAGGAATAGCAGAGACTCAGGTAAACTGAATTTACTCCTGAAAATAGTCTCTCCTCTTTTGTAAGGCTCTTAGTGTAGGGAGATTGGGTCTATCTAGTTAGGAGTGGAGCTGGATTTAGATTTTCTTGTTACTTCTTTCTAGTTCATTCTTGTTACTTCTTTCTAGTTCATTCTTGGTGCCTCACGGCCTGCAGATCCCTCTAGCTGTGGACTGTAGCAACCTGGTCCTTCCTGTGTGGCCTGAAGTGCCACCAGACTTCTCAATGTCGTTGGTCCACTCTCAACCTTCAGCAGACCCTGGCTATCCATGCACAGACAGGCTATCTCCATCCCGCTTCTCCGCTATGGCTAATTGCTAGGGACAAGGTTTGTGGGTGGGACAGTGGAGATTTTCTCTATTCTATTTCAGCCTCAGGTGGGCCCTGTGTACTTGGGCCCTTGTGTTGGGGACTATGCTCGTCATCCCTGCCTCTCCCCTGTGGCAGCCACACTCTGCCTTGTATCTGTCTAAGGTCTTGGATGGGACCGGGAAGTCTGCTGCTCCCTCAGGGATGGAAGGTCTCTGCTTTCCATCAGTGTAGTTGCCAGGATGTGAGTGGATTTGCTGCTGCCTCCCTTCCCAGGGGCAGAGGGATTTTCCTGCTGTCCCTCTTCAGTATCTTGAGGTTTTGCCTGGGAATGGAGGGGTGGAGTTTCCTGTCTGCCAACAGCGCTGGCTTTGGCTTCTGCCCTCTCCCACAGGCTTAGGCTTTCCTTCATGTGAGACGAGGACCTGAGACGCAGGCAGGGCTTCGTGTTCCTGTGCCCTCTCCGGGAGGAGGGCTGTCCCAAATCTCTCGTTATGCTCCAGTCCCACTTGGGAGCAATGCGTTGGGGCTCAAGGCAAACAGCTGGGAATGAACCTGGATCCCTGTGGTTCTGAATCTCCTAAGAAGTTTCAACCGGCTTTCTAGCACATAGTTAGCCTTGAAGACTTTGTAAGAAGTTTTTCTTATGACCCACTTTTATGTTCACAAGCCTTCCTTCTGCACTCTGCAAACGTGAAGGACATCCTGCATCCAGCTTCTCTTGGCAGGGCCCTGTCACTGGACTTGGAATTCGGCTCACTTGATTCGTCTCATGACTCTTTGGCTTGAGCTCCCTAACTGAAGAGGAGTTGAGATTTTGTGGCTCACTGGCTTCACGTCTGTTGTTAGTGTAGGGGTGATATTCTCTTGTGTCTTTCTCAGTTCTAGGAGGAGCAGAACTTCTTGATCTGTGGTTTGCACTCTCTGAGTGTGGATGAGGAGTAGGTATTCTTATCAAACCAAATAGATAATAAAATAGTGGAGATTCCTAAGACTGTTCTTTTAATGTTGGTTTGTTTTGGGAGACTAGAATTCATACCCAAGTCTGTGACCACCAGAACATAAAACATAACCTTATAGTAATAAAACAATTTTGTTTAGCAATGTTTGCTTTTAAATAAAAGAGTCTGGTGCTTATAGTAACTTCTTTTACAAATTTTATTCACCTATTTACTTATTATTTACTTAACTGAAAGGCTGAAAGTGATAGAGAGAGAAATAGAATTAGAATTAGAATTAGAGAATTAGAATGCTCTAAATGCATTCTAAATACCCTTGGGAGAGGGGCAGAGGGAGATGGGACATGCAGCAGATAAGGTAATGTGAAGACTGAGGTAGGTGTTGGAGGCTGCAGCCTCCCCAGGAGTGCTGGCAGCCACCAGACGCTGCACAGGCAAGGCCCACACCCTGCACCAGAGCTCCAGAGGGAGAGGGGCTGCACCGGCACCTTGATCTCTGCCAAGAAACTGGTTTTGGAGTTCTGATCTCCGGAACGGGTGGAGAATGCTTTTCTGTTGTTTTATGCCACCATGTGTATATGGGGATTTATTACAGTAATCAGGGGAAGCTAAAATCTTTACCTCAGTCTTGTTCCCTTCTTATTGTTTAAAATACCATTTGAGAAAAGTCTGTTGTAGGAAGTATGCATGTTCTGTGATGACACTTCTTTTGGTAGTGTTAATTTACTTAGTTTTCCTGAAGAAAGCAAAAAAGAAAATTATGCATGGCCTGAGGTGGCCTCATCCACACCATGGACCACACGCCTGAGGGACTGGTCGCAGGCTTTTGGGAAGCTTCTCATTCTTCCCGATAGGAACTCTTGCATATATTTATGTTCCTAAACACAAGTGACATCAAGAGCTCCATCTTTCCATCACTGATTTTCAGACAACTCTGTTCTCCTGCTGGGGTGCCCTGGGATTCATCAGCTGTGTGTGGTTGGCCTTGTTCAGGTTCCCAGGAGTGGGTCCTCCAGTCACTACACAGACCATTCATGGGGATGCAGGAGTATTTGATTTTACAGCAAGTACCAGTGAAAATAAGGAAACAACTAGAACTTACTAGAGATGTATAACTGTCTAAGAATCAGATGCATTTATTGTACTTTTATCCTTCCACACTTACCAAGGCATAGTATGCTGTCTGTCCCCACCATAATTTCTATCCATTTTCTTCTGATTTATTTAAAACTTTTTGGTGTGTAGTTATCTTCTGCACTCTGTAGCTGATTTTCTTTGCATCTATTATTTATCTTTCTCCTCTGATTAGAATTTTTAAAAAAATTTATTTATTTGAAAGTCAGAGAGATAGGGAAGGGGAGAGAGGAGGGGGGGAGAGATCAATCTTTACATCTTCTGGCTCACTCCTCAACTGGCCACAATCTCTGGGGCTGGGCCAGGCCAAAGCCAGGAGCCAGGAGCTTCATCTGGTCTCTCACATGGGTTGCAGGGGTCCAAGGAGTTGGGCTATCCTCCAGTGCTTTCCCGGGCACAGTAGCAGAGAGCTGGATTGGAAATGGAGCAGTCAGGACTCGAACTGGTGCTTATATGGGATACCAGTGCTGTATGTGGCAACTGCTACACCACAGCGCTGGTGATTCTGATTAGCATTTAAGCCACTGCAGGCAGGATATTTTGTGGATATGATGTGTTTCAAATGTCTAACAGTGTCTGGGACATATTGGGCACACAATAAGTATTTGCTTGAGGAATGAAGAAATGACTGACCACAGAGACCATAATGAGATCAATAGTTTCACCCAGATAGGAGTTTGACACGTTAAACATATTCTCAGTGCCTGGTGCTGGTACCAGTAAGCATCTAATTATTTATTGCCTAGATGCAAAAATAAAGAATCAAATACTGACCTTTCTCTTTTCATCAGCATCTCTCAGCCATCTTTTTCTGTCAACTAAAACTTAAGAGATGATATCACTTTCCAGCCTCGGTATGTTTTCTGTAAAACAAACTTCTTTCATCAATATCTGTAGGCACTATTGTATGAGATTAAAAGCCACAGAATCAGGGCTGGTGCAGTGGGGTAGCAGGTAAAGGCATTGTCTGCAGTGCTGGCATCCCATATGGACGCCATTTCGAGTCCCGGCTGCTCCACTTCTGATACAGTTCTATGCTATGGCCTGAGAAACCAGTACAAGATGGCCCAAGTCCTTGGGCTCCCGCACCCACATGGGAGATCCGGAGGAAACTCCTGGCTCCTTGCTTCCAATTGGCGCAGCTCTGGCCATTTAAGCCATCTGGGGAGTGAACCAGCAGATGGAAGACATTTCTCTCTCTCTCTCTCTCTCTCTCTCTCTCTCTTTCTCTCTGTAACTCTGACTTTGAAATAAATAAATTCATTTTAAAAAATAGGTCAAGGGTTCATCACCTTTATTTTTATTTTTTTATTTTGTTATTTAAGTGATAGCTTAACCCACTATGTCACAATGCTAGCCTCATTCCAAACATTTCATGTTCAATGGTATTAAGTGTAATCACAATGTGTAACTATTATTATTATTCTCTGAACATGTATTTTATCTGTCTAGGCTTCTCTTTGTGCTGTGACCCCTCCACAGTCACAGTACTCAAAGATAGCTATGACTGATATTGGAAATAATCAGATTGCTCCACGATTCTTAGATGGAATGTATCATATACTTGATTGCTTAGTGAATCTGCAAGCTTAATGGGAACATTTTCCCTTGGGCTTAATCAAGTTATCTTTCATGTATTTAGCTCTCCATAAGTGCTTTCCCCATAACATAATAGAAACCTTGGCACACATTTTATTTCTGACTGTGTGCCTAATAAACATAACCATTGTAAATGTGTGTGAGGCTCTCAGCACCTTCAACTTGATGGTAACAACTCACAGAAGATGAATATCTGGCTTTATAATCCTAAAATACAGGCTTAATAGCAAGTCATGAAAGTAAAGATTTGATTATAGAGATTAGAGGAATAGAAATTGGGTTTTATAGTAATTGAGTAACTATTAAGAATACTTCAAACACCTTGAAAGAATCCTTAAAACACCAAGGTTTAAAAGATCTAGATATGGGCTGAGGATTTTTTTTCCAAGGGAAAAAAAACTCTACTCATTTAATTAAGCAACTTTCTAAAATTGTCAGTACGGCTGTTTAAATATAGTCTCCCAGGGTTCTAAAGGAACAAATTACACAGGAAAATTAGTGCTAAGGGCTAAGAAGAAATGAAGGTGTTTCTCAACAATCATGTTTGGATTACATTCGAAATGAAACTCTAATCACTCCACAATTTAAGAAAAGGTTGATGGTCTAGTAGTGACCTTTTGTGAAAGCTTTTCAAGAGGCTAGACTTGTTGAGAAACATTTATTAAGTGAAATTTTACAATGTAAGTTTTACAGCCCTTCTATGTGGAACCTTGCGCTGAAGAAATTGAAAGGTTAGATGTGCTGAAGCCGAGACATTTTTACATGTGTAGTTTTGTTGTAACTTCAGTGCGTGGACATGGCACTTTTTAAAAAGCCCCATTAGGCCAAGAGCATACAGGTTCCAGCAGGAAAATGAAAACGTGGTGGGTTGGTAGTGAATTCCCATTAACGTCTTGGGAAGGATCCGCAGAGAACTGGTGGGCAGTCGTGCGTGGCACTCAGGGCACATGAGCCACGCCCAGCGGCCTTGCTCTCTCTGGGGCCCCTCTTTCTACAACCTGAGACCCTAGATGCCCAGGCCTCCTCTGGGTTGTTGTCTGTCTCACTCTCTCCAGCCGGCAGCAGCGTGGCTTCAGTAGTCTTTCTTGGCAGATTTTGCTGATGGAGCACTCACTGGAGGAGAAGGCGCCGGAGTCCACCTACTTGAAACTCTGGTGAGGATTTCTTCAGTTCAGAGGCCTTGATGTGTGGGAGGATTTCATGAGCTAAAATTCTGTCAGTGTTTCCATTTACCAAGTTGCCATTCGATCGTTTTATACCCTAACCATTCCAAATTGCCTTCAATTCAAACTTGGCACATGTGTTGACAACCCCAGATGCCATTTTTTAATTGAAAATGGTTGGTGATTTTTGATTAAAGTGTAAAAACAAAAACGTACGATTCCCATGGTTCAGCTCTTTGACGTGAATCCCAGATTATTCACTGTCAGTTACAACCACATGATAACACCACTTTCTACAAGGCCAGCAAATGTCATGGGTTGAAGGCAAGTTAGGGTCTGAAAGAAGTGTTTTCCTAATGCAGTATGGTTTCTATTTCTGTTCAATATTTCACAGGCAGACAGGAGACTGAAGTGGTATAGGGTTATGTGATGGGAAAATGAGGAATAATATGTTGTCAAAACAGAGAAGAATTAAGTGACTTAAGGATATGAAATGGAGATGGCAAAATAGGAGCTCACATATCTCAGCCTTATTGGCTGAACTTGCACTTGAGGACAGGCCCAGACCTACCCAGAAGTGCAGTAAGGTTTGTTCTGGGCTCCACTCTTCTTTCTCGTGGCAACCTTTCTGATATGTGTTCCCTTTCCTGCTCTTTTCCGTCCTTTCCTGTTCTCTGTATCTCCAGTGATATCACCTCCAACTCGCTGGCATTAGGGAGCTTCTTGTAATTCCTTATGGAGCAAAGGATTCCAAGAATATTTTGGTATGTCCCAGCACATGTTCAGTCGTCTTCACATCTAAGGATTAGACAATCCTTGTGGAAGGTTGTCACTTTTTGAAAATGCAGCTATTAGTTCATCTTTCTTCCTAGCTTCCAACTCCAAGCATAAGAGAAAGGGGCCTTCCTGAACCATGAGAGCATGTGAAATTGATGGAGACATTGTATTTTGCACTGAAACATTGTTTCACTAGGTTAGCTTGAAATGAAACTGTGGATGGCACTATTTAAAATGGTTTAAAATACTTCAATCATATTTGTAAACATTAGGTACCTTATAATGGAAATATAGCAGGGAGAGTTTCAATAATTTTTTGCCTTACTTTTAAAGTAATCTGGGACAGTTTTAAAGAGTTTCAACAACGGAAAGGATATTTTGAGTCCAAAAAAATCAATACGAATTCCATCTTCTCGATCTTTCCTTGCCCTCTTATAGAGTGTGAACAATTAACCCAAAATGCTCAAAAGCAAAGAAAGGTGAAAGAGCTGATGCAAATCACCACAAACAAAACCACCTGCCACAACTAACTGAAGTTGTTGCTATGGACACGAAGCATAAATGTTCATGCCACAATTTCCTCTGTAAAGCTTCACACTTTCTTTTTTTATATTTTTTTAAAATTTATTTGACAGGTAGAGTTATAGACAGTGAGAGAGAGAGACTGAGAGAAAGGTCTTCCTTCTGTTGGTTCACTCCTCAAATGTCCACTATGGCTGGCGCTGCGCCGATCCGAAGCCAGGAGCCAGGTGCTTTCTCCTGGTCTCCCATGGGGTGCAGGGCCTAAGCACTTGGGCCATCCTCCACTGTCCTCCCTGGCCACATCAGAGAGCTGGACTGGAAGAGGAGCAACCGGGACTAGAACCGAGTGTCCACATGGGATGCCGGTGCCGCAGGCGGAGGATTAACCAAGTGAGCCATGGCACCGGCCAAAGCTTCACACTTTCTGAAGTGGCTTTTTTTCCCCCTTAAATACAACAAATATTTCTGCAAAATCAGTTAAAAATTATTGATCACCTACCTAAAAGTTCACATTTAAAATGGAAAGTCATTCATTTGGATGAATAAAGTTTCTTTTACTGATTCAATTAATTGGTAGCTGGGTTCCCACTTTCTGTGCTGTTCTAAAACAAATACTTTTAAAATGTCAGTTACATGTCTCTTTTATACTCAATCTCTCACCTCTTTAGTAAATAAAGTATAATTAAGATTCCATCCCAGTGGTAAATGGAGAAGATTATCTATTGTCAATCTTATGTACCTATGTCTGCCAGTTTTTATTTTGGTTCCTGTTGCGTCAATCTTTTTTTTTAACTTCTATTTAATGAATATAAATTTCCAAAGTACAGCTTATGGGTTACAATGGCTCCCCCCCCTCATAACTTCCCTCCCACCTGTTGCTTCAATCTTTTGGGAGATCATTTACCTAGATGTTATTTCATGTTTGCCTTGGTGAGTGGCTAATGGGACAATATATTCTTGAGTATCTCTTGGGAGCCCCCAATTAAATGTATTTTGTAATGAGAATTTCTTTGGTCATTGGACTATTCCCTATAGAACTTAAAGCCTGCAGATCACAAATAAAAGTAGTTGGGGCAACTTAATTAAGCTACCATAAATAGAATTTAGGTGGCAGACATTTATGGGTTTAGTTGTCTTTTAGTTATTTATTTTTTGAGTGTATTGGGTTTGGCATTATTCCTGACTGGGCATTTGTGATGAGGCATAATGGCTCAGGGCTGGTCACCACAAAGGAGGGTCTGGCTTCTCTGCACATAGTGAAAAGTGAATATGGTGCTCAATCTGAGATGTTATCTTTTGGTCAACCCAAAAGCGTTGGGTCTGTTTGTGCACCATTTGTTGAGCGTTTGGACAATGAAAGCTTATATTAGTATTACGTAAGTATGAAATAATTATGCCTATCATAAAACACAATATGATCTTACATACAGAATGTATAAAGTATTATCTTGACACTCCTCCATTGATACTAATAATGTGTAGTTGATTATGTGAGTTTAAATTTATCTTAATTTTCATGTACTTGTTATAAATTGGGTTTTCTATTTATTATACCCCGAAGGATTAATCATCATAAACTGAGGGAAATTATAAGGGCTTGAGGCTGAGTTATCTGGCCTACTCTGTGTCAGGGTATAACAAATATCTGAAAACTGTGAACTCTAAGTCTTGTGTGTAAGTCCTAGTCCTAGTGGACCAATCAGTGGATCTGCAGCAGGTGAATGTCATTGGGTGCAGTGGTTTCGGATGCATACTGCAACTGTTAGGCACACGCAGGGTGTGTAAGTGGTGATGGCATCCTTGAGAGGTGTAATCTGTAAGAAATGAGCTTGGGACTAGATGTGGGCATTGGCTCCTCCTAGAGCACTGAAAGAACAATTATTGTGGGACTGGCCATTCTCTCCACTGGCAGCCATCAGCATCAGAGGCACGCTTACTCTGACCCTTGACGTGATGAGATATTCATCAGTGAGGCCTTCAGCTGCTCATCCAAGGTAACCTCAGAAGTGGGACTGTCCTGTTTTTCAATGCCTCTCCTTTTCATAATTGTAAGAATTAGAATCAGGACCAAGCTTGTAATAATGGCATGCTGAGATGTTCCAAGGATGAGGACTGCTGTATGGTCCCGATGTGCTCACCTAGAACAGAAAACTCCGATGTGGATTTATTAAAGAGGATGTGTGACATTGTTACAACCTCTTTAAAATGAATCTTTATATTTGCAAAGGAATAATTTATTGCTAGGGTGCCAGATTCTCCCAAAGTCCATGACTTTCTTCCCTTTCGGCATTTTGGGAAAATAAATGCATTTCTTCATGCTTTCTAAATGACCTTTGGTTTGTAAGGGAGACCATCCTCAGCACTCTGCTATCTCTCAGGCAGCTTTGGGTATTGGTTCTTTATTGACTTGTGCTGTGAGGAAGAAGGACATCACATAAGGGAGTGCATTATGTATGGAAAGGAGGTGGTTCTTTCAGCCAGTGGTGCACCTCTCTTGATGTTGTCTTCTTTCATCTAATAAATGCATTTGGCAGTGGGCTAGAGTGGGCTCAAGTGCATCCTAGGAGCCTTGGTTAGACTGATTTCTTTTTATTTTATTTTTTATTTTTTGACAGGCAGAGTGGACAGTGAGAGAGAGAGAGAGACAGAGAGAAAGGTCTCCCTTTGCCGTTGGTTCACCCTCCAATGGCTGCCGCGGCCGGCACGTTGCGGCCGGGGCACCGCGCTGATCCGAAGGCAGGAGCCAGGTGCTTCTCCTGGTCTCCCATGTGGGTGCAGGGCCCAAGCACTTGGGCCATCCTCCACTGCACTCCCGGCCACAGCAGAGAGCTGGCCTGGAAGAGGGGCAACAGGCACAGAATCCGGCGCCCCAACTGGGACTAGAACCCTGTGTGCCGTCGTCGCAAGGCGGCGGATTAGCCTAGTGAGCTGCGGCGCTGGCCAGACTGATTTCTAAAGAACTGGATTACTGTACTCTAAATTTTACCTTGGCTTCACGTATGCAATTATGCTAATTATTTTGCTTAGTTGGTGCTCAATTTCTTTAATTTTATTTTGTAATATAGATAAGTCAAATATATATGAATAGGGTAATGAATCCCTATTTTAATATCATTTAAGTTCAGCATATCATCTTATACCCAATCTTATTTTATTCAGTTATTTATTCATCTATTTGAAAAACAGAATGACAGAGAGAAAGGTAGACACATATACACAGAAAGAAAGAGAGTTTTTCCATTCACTGGTTCACTCCCCAAATGCCCACAATAGCTGGAGTTGGGCCAGGCCAAAGTCAATAATAAGAAACTCCTTACAGGTCTCCCTAGTGGATGGCAGAGACTCAAGTGCCTGGGCCATTTTCCTTTGCCCGTTCACACACATTAGCAGGAAGCTGGATCAGAAGCCGAGTAGCTGCTTCTTAAACTGGCGCTATGATACGGATGTGGGCATCCCAAGTGGCAACTTAACTCATAGTGCTGCAAACCCTGCCTCCTTACTTTGGTTTTCTTTAAAATTTGAGAAAGAGAGAGAGAGAGAGAGAGAGAGAGAGAGAGAGAGAGATCCTCTCAGCTGGCTTACTCTCCAAATGCTTGCATGACCAAGACTGTACTGTGCTGAAGCCAGGTGGTGGAACCTCAATCCAGGTCTCCCACTTGGTGGCAGGGATCCAATTACTTAGCCATCACCAC